CTACCGGACTTAGGACGCAACTAGCTTCCGCCAACCTCTGACCGCCATTCCAGGGGAGCGACACCTTCACCGACTCCTTTTCAGTGAATCGCGTTCTTGGAATCCAATTACCACATTGCAGACGAAGAGCTCGAGTTGCCACAAAAAGACGAAACTGACCCTTGCGCATCTTCGTTCTGGATATTGTAGCAGATAAAACTTCTATTTGCCCAGAATAAACCTCAAGTTATCCAACATATGTCCTGCGTGCAAAGAGTCTAAGCATGACACTTTCCACCTCTTTACAACTGGCAACCCACCTCATCTTTCTCTTTGGTGCGACCCCGTCAAAACAGCACGTTTCCTCGGCCCCCCGCAAGATGACGTCGATGACAACCAGGATAACCCCTACAATCCTAACGGAAACAGTGTTTCGACTACTGGGGAAAGAAGAGTTAGAGATAAGACTCCCAGAGTTTGACAAGCCCCCCAGGTTTCAGTAATGGTACCTCTTCTTTTTCTTTACTGGCGTATACACCGCTTACGCGATTATAGCCGAGTTACCAATAGCGCGCCAGTAGTTTCTTCTTTACGCTACTTTGCGTCAATTGGATATTCCAGGCGAAGATAGGTCATTCTCCACTTGGTTCTTCCAACAGAGTGGAGGTCTTCCTCTTCCTCTGCTTCCCCGGCGGGTACTGCGGCGAGCACTTTCAGAGCTTGAGTGTTTTCGTCCATTCGGACAACATTATCTAGCCAGTGTAGCTGCTGTCTTTTAATTCGTCGTCATATATCTTATACAGCTCATCGTTCCATCGAATGCGATATTCGCCGTGGCCAACGCGCAAAGGACCATAGATCTTTTGCAGGACTTTATCTCGAAAAGTCGCAACGTCGACTCATCCGTTGTTGACATCGTCCAAGCCTCTGCACCATATAGCAGGATGGGAATTATAGCAATTCCCACGACAGCCGGTTCTACGATACCGGAATTGACTCGGATTTCATCCAAGCCAAGGGCTGTTCTTTCGGCGATCTAACCCCGTTTTGATCGGTAAGTGTTGGTTTGTGTGTGTCGTCGTTGGAGCAAGGCCTTGCAGCAATGTTGCTCCGTATCCTCCTGACTCGTGCTGGCATTGAGTCCAACCCGGGCCCGGAGGAATTCTTCTGCTGCGTTTGCGCGAAAAGGCTCCATCCACACTCCACCTCGGTCAGGCGGATTACATGCAATGGATGGAGCCATCTTAAGACCTGTTCCGTCCTTAAGACCCATAGGGAGTGGACTACGCGTTACGTGGCCCCATGTTGAATACGCAATACTGCGACACTAGCCTCTACAGCTGTGCAATCTGCACATAGTTCGCGCGCTGCGCCGCCACCCACCTTGAGTGGCCAACAGAGGACCTCCACGGTCCCCCGGAGCTCAACTAGGCAACATAGCTCCCACACTGACTTGAACTCTCTGAGAAGAATTAAACAGGGCGTTCCGCAAGGTGGTGTCCTCTCCCCGCTACTATTTAACTTCTACATCTCGAAACTCCCGCAACCACCAGAGGGGGTTTCCATAACCTCGTACGCTGATGACTGTACGATATTGACGTCGGGCAATGGAATCGATGGCATGTGTTCGAAGGTAAACAATTACCTCTCCGACCTTTCTCGTTTCCTCACTGCACGGAACCTCCAACTTTCCCCTACCAAATCCACAACGACCATATTCACAAACTGGACGAAGGAGTATAGACTGGAACTTAATATTGCAGTCGACGGCGTCAAAATCCTCTCCAAGCAGTTCCTGCTGGGATGTTTTCGTAGAAATCATCCTTGCAGTCATCTGCTTGGTGCGGAACCGCCTTCTAGGAGCACCAAGAGGTCATTCCTTGATCACGTCGACGACATCGTCCCCAACCCCACCCATCTAACACCCTTTTCCCTTTGCTCCGACCCCGTCGAAACAGCACGTTTAATGGGCCTCCCGTTAGATGAAATCGACGACAACGCTGATGACCCTCACCATCCCAACGGGGACTGATAACCGGTAAAACAACAACAACAACGGGAATTATAGAGTTTGGTTTTTGTTTGCCGAGAGAGGACTTTGCTTCTCAATTGCCGACTCCGTCTGAAGTAGCACCTGTTTGCAATATTTACGTTGATTCCAAGATAGACGAAATTATCTACGACTTCAAAGTTATGACTGTCAAAAGTGACGTAAGAGCCAAGTCGAGAGCGCTACGACTGTTTGTTTGATGACACGACATATTTCGTCTTGCCCTCGTTCACAGCCAGACCCATTTGTGTTGCTTCCTTGTCCAGTCTGCAGAAAGCAGAACTAATGGTGCGGGTGTTGAGGCCGCTGATATCAATATCATCGGCATACGCCAGCAGCTGTACACTCTTATAGAAGCTCCTTTTCGTGCTGCCGAAAGCAGCTTTGAAATCGACGAAGAGGTGGTGTGTGTCGATTCTCCTTTCACAGGTCTTTTCCAAGATTTGGCGCATGGTGAATATCTGATCGGTTGTTGATTTGCCAGGTCTAAAGCCACACTAATTAAGTCCAATGAGTTTGTTGACGGTGGGCTGCAATCTTTCACATAATACGCTGGATAGGACCTTATATGCGATGTTGAGGGTCTCCTTTTTTTGTGGATTGGGTATAGCACACTTAAACTCCAATCGTTGGGCATGCTTTCGTCCGACCATATTTTACAAAGAAGCTGGTGCATGCTCCTTATCAGTTCTTCGCCGCAGTGTTTGAATAGATCGGCTGGCAATCCATCGGCCCCAGCCGCTTTGTTGTTATTCAGGCCGGTAATTGCTATTCCAACTTCTTCATGGTCGGGTAATGGAACATCTACTCCATCGTAATCGATTGTATGTTCACTGGCATGCAACACGCTGGAGAAGTGTTCCCTCCATAATTTCTGGGCATCGGTGACTAGATCACCTTTGGGGGTTCTACAAAAGTATGCTCCAGTCTTGAAGCCTTCTGTAAGAATTACCGCTACAAGTTATGTGGAAAATGCGACAACAAGCTAAGTTTAATATACCGTTACTGAATTTCATAAGATCAGTTTATGGATTGGTTTTTGTTATCACTATAAGAAATGTTCAATAGACTTGTTTTAAAATATTTTCTTTATTTGCTTTAAATTTTACAATACAGGTTTCAACATTAAGCATCATTACATTTACTACTTTTTCATTTGGGCAATACATGTATGTACGTAAACAAGCGTATATACAGTCACCGAAATAAGTATAGTGTACAAACTTGAAAAGAGAATTTAGGGTAGTATGAAAGCGTTTTTTGAAAATGAATGCATGTAAGCAATTGCGACCTATTTGTTCATTGTTGATCAATAGCTTTGTAGTACCGTTACTTGTATATTCAGAGCGAAATAGTTATAGCGTACAATAAGGAAAAGTATTCCGTATCGGCAAGACGTTACATTTACTCTGTATTTTTAAGGATTTTTAAAGTGAGTTTGTTTTCAATTAATAATTTAAAAAATATTTATCCATCCTAACGAGCTTAATTTAGTAACTAATTTAGAGATGCCTCGCGGAACCCATTTATCGCTTGTTGAGCGTACTAAAATTCAAACGATGCGGGAATGTGGAGCTACAATAAGGGATATAGCTGAAAAAATACATCGAAACAAGAAAACAATATTTTCCTTTTTAAGAAATCCGGAAAATTATGGTACAACAAAAAGAAGTGGACGTCCTCCAAAGGTTGATGAACGGTCAAAACGGCAAATAAAACGTTTGGCAGTCAATAAAAACATTTCCCCAACAAAAATTAGGCTTCAACTAAATCTTAAAGTGTCCACCCGTCGAGTTCAGCAGATTTTAAAAGAGAATAGTAACATTCAGTATGCCAAACGAGCGCCTCAGCCTAAGTTGCTACCTCGGCACAAAACTGCAAGGATGCAATATGCCCAAAGGCATTCATTGTGGGACGACGAGTGGAAAAAAATGGTTTTTAGTGATGAAAAAAATTTAATTTAGGTGGCCCCGACGGCAATGACAAATATTGGAGAGATATTCGACGACCACTAGAAACAAGGCATTCGAGGAGTTTCCAGGGTGGATGGTATGGGGGGCTTTCGGATACAATGGTGCAACCCCAATTTGTTTTGTAACGCATAAAATGAATTCTATGAGTTATATTGAACTGTTAGACAACGTCTTAATAGATTTTTCGGAACGATTTTGTGAGGAACCATGGATTTTTCAGCAAGATAACGSYKYGATACACAATGCAGCTGCAACAAAACGTTTCTTTATGGACAGAAATATAGCATTAATCGACTGGCCCGCTATAAGTCCCGACTTAAACCCCATGGAAAATCTCTGGGGAATACTTTCGCAGCAAGTTTATTCCGGCGGTCGACAATTTGATACCGTTAGAGATCTAAGGAAATGCATTGAAGCCGAATGGAAGAAAATACCCATTTCCACCCTTCGCTCTCTAATTGAATCCATGACAAGGCGCATAAATACCGTTATTTTAGCTAACGGTAACCATATAAGTTATTAACACTTCGAATAAGATTGATTTAATATGAAATATTTCTTTGTACGAAATACTTTTTTCGTACTAAGTGAATTTAATTTTTGAGTTATTTTATTAATAAGTAGTAATTTTTGTTTTTAAATATTGTGTAGATTATATTATATGTAATTATCGATGTTGATTCCATTAATAAATAACATAAAAAGTAATCATATGAAATTTAAAGATGAATAAAAGAGAGTTTTAGCTTGTACACTATATTTATTTCGGGGACTGTAGTCATTTGAAAACATATGATAGATTTTATTTAATGCAAATAATATGTTTGGTTTGTGAATGTTGGTGAGTTAATAAAACTTTATATACTGATGTAATATACTAAATGTAAAGACAGCTTATTAAACATATAATATAATAATAAGAATTTTATTCTGTACGTTGCGTATAGTATATACAGCTGTCCACCAAATACCAGGAGTGACAAATGAGATTTATTCACTTTATAACAAGAAAAATGGTTTTATTAATATTAAAATCTTTTATTCTCAGTCACTGCAGCTTGCCCGAGATAAATTTGAAGTGTTAACAAAATAATGTTACAAAGACAAGATAAGAAAGGGTTCCAGCAGAGTCAGAATTAAATATAAATCGTATTTTTCCCGCGATATTGCTAATATAAAAAAATGTCCACGACTTAATATTTTGAATTTGAACTCAAACACAATATCTTTAGTCTAGCCGTTTGATAAAATTTTTCTGTACGCTTTTCCTTTGTTATCCTAGGTTGTTTACCTTTGTAGGGCTACAATATTTCAAAATAGCAAATACTTGTAACAACTATTTTTCGAGCTGTTGGTATATGCATATAACACATTATTACATTCGTATTCTATTATATAACTGCCATTTCCATGATTTTTTTTAATTAAATGATTCAGCTTATTTAAACCTCCCCTTTGTCTAAATAATAATTTTCATTGATGACCATAGAATTAAAGAACATTCCCAAAACATTTGATAAAGCGGACATCATTTCAAAGAAATAGAAAAATATTGCCATCAACAACTTCTTTTTGTTTGTACATCTTACTTGGCAGAAAAGAATTCAGGAACTCGTAGACATCATCCTATGACATATATATTAGGCTTTTAGCCATTTTTTCGATCTGGTATTTTAATACCTTAAACTACAATAAAGAAAAGACTTCAACTTTCTAAGATAAAAAAAAAATTGTGATTACCTAGCAACTGATTACTTGGTTCGGTTCTGTAACGGAAGGTGTGCGCTAGCCTGTGTAAGATATCTTCATATGATGCATACGGTTCTAACATAGAAGTTTATTGGTGTTCAAATATATTACTTCTATTTTCTTTTATAGTAATCGACGAGTTAACTGTACTTTCATTACCATTGTTAACAGATGCCAGTATACTTGAAGACACTTTATCTAACGCTCCAACAGGCAACTTATTAATTTTGCCCATACAATCTTCAATTAACGCGTCTTTGGGGTTCTGCTTACTCACTTCTATATCTAGAAACAGCGGATTTTCATGTCTGTCACTACGGTTGTGAGTGGTTGAGTTCACACCTTCATAAAGATTCGGAATAACATTTATATTGGACGTTCGATCAATTATATGATGTATTAGAGCATCATCTGGCTGCCCAACATGTTCCTGTTGATGCTGTTTGAACATAGGTAACACGTTATCATCGTTCGCACTAATATTCTGGGTTTCGGTCGTACCAGCTTTCCATCCATCACTACGAAATATTGCTTTGTTAAAATTAATAATATTTTTATCTCCATTGAACTTACCCATTACCCTTTACTATCTGTACAGGACTTGTTACATTACTTCGTTGAGTAATAGATCCAGATGAACCTGTGAAATCCATATAAATAGATAATTATGTAAAGAGGTTAGCAATCTCTGAAAATTCTACCGATTGAGTTATTATTTAAAAACATATTGTATTTCCCATTTTTCTGTATTATGATTTCATTACTAACTTTTGTATTGTAAATATTAAATTTCTCGTCAAAATGCCCTTAAGCTCGTTTTACTCACCATCTCCTTCAATGTTCTTTTGAGCTTCTTCTAATATTTGTACAACATGTTCTTCCGCGATTCGACGTATATTATTTATGTCATAGTTCGTTTGTATCAATTGTGAAATATTATTGGGTGTTAGTGAATTCATCTTCCTTGACGAGCCATTTGCAGATATACCTTCTGCGATTTCAGCGGATACCGTCTCATCATTTACTTTATGGTACCCATAAATTTCATTTTGTTTTAGTATACAATTCTTAGGGGATTTTTGTCCGCTAAACAGCAATCGATCTAGTGTAGTTTTAGCCATGTTTTTTTCGATGTCATCAGTCACAGGTTCCATATTAAATATACATTTGTCTACAATATCGGGTCTATTAATATTGCGCAAAGCATGCTCCAAACGGTTGCCTGTGGCTTTAAGACCTTGCTGACGCACCCAAAGTCGCAGCATAATCATTGCCTTTTGTGATGGACTCTCCGTGTATTCCGCATTAATAACCTCGTAATCGGTCTCGGGGACACCCAATTCTTTAGCCAAGCGTATCCAGTCGTCGTTTATAAAATTACATACATCCGATAAGCGTATATCGGCTCGGTGTAATGTGTTGTCTCCTTTTGCAAGTATTTGCAGTACATTTATTTGGTTTAGACCTTCTCTAATATCTAAAGATCCGTCTAAGTCATTTGCAAGTTTCAACTCTGTTATCTTGAAACCTGCATTTAACAAATCCTTATAATTGAGACCAGGATCAACTGTTATATTATTTAAACATTTTTGGCTACAATTAAAACGATTGACATTATCAACAATATCAGAACCTTCTAATGATATGTTTAATACACAAATTGGTTCCTGTGGTGGTTCACGGATACTAACTTTCGGATTATTCATGAAGCTTATGCGACCGTAAGGCTCTTCTTGATCTTTGACATGCACAATGAAAGAAAGACGATTTTCGCGGAAGGCCTGAAATTTTAAATTAAACTGTTCGCCTGATTTCAATACAGGTACCAAGTTGCCTGCAAACTCCAAATAAATATCTTGGTCACCAAGCACTTCCACATCTCTGCTTTTAGCAATTTCGGTAAAGTACTCTTGCTGCTCCAAGGTTTTATCTTCTTTGTCATCCGTCATACAAAACACAGAAATCTTTGCCTCATTTAGCGAAACTCGTTTTGCAAAAACCACAAATTTTACCATAAATGGGATTTGAGCCATGTAAGAATATAGTTCAGTGGCCATACGGCTAGCCTCCGAGATATTACGACAATCCATTAACCAAAAACGAGCCGATACTGTCGTAGTAAATGTAATACTATCCTTTACGAAAGCAAAGGGTGTTGACCCCGTTACATCTTCCCAGACCGCGTGATTTTGTCCCCCTGTTATTGAACACAAAAGCCGTAAAGTTGGAGCATTTCCTGTGTAAGGGGAATTCACCATCCCTTGAGTAGACGCCTTTGGAGCTGGTATGCTGAGCGTAATAGCCTTGTGAAATTTCCGACGGCGCGGTTCAACGGTAACCACTGGCGACACAGCCACACCTTGGCCCAGAAGTTTGCTGCAACCGTTCAGATCAACTGGCTGTGCCTGAAGACCGACACGAATCTTCTTAGTGAGAGCATTAGGCGGAAAAATTGCCTGTACTTGCGGCACCGCTTCTGAAGAGACGGTGCCACCGTCAGGGCCAATAGCATGAACCTCCTGCCGAATACGAGATACTACCGCAAAAAAATGTGGAAAAGTGAGAGTTACAATGCGTACGATACGACTAGTGTGCAAATCTTCCATTGAATTCAGTTCACCATTTGCCGTTTCCTGAAGAACGTCTAGCATAACTTCGTCACTGTCGAACAATGTATGTTCTCGCCAACTATCACCATTGTCTGAACGCAAAATTATTATTTCTCGCTCCTTGTCTCTCAGTGACCCAAAATGCGGTACCTCTAGAACCACTGGCCTTAAAATTAAGGACAAACATTAGTCTAAAAAGTTGGCATCGAAATAACATACCTAAGAAATTTTCCCTCGACTGGAGATAATTCCATTATACGACTAACTAAGGCTTCGCCTTCCATTAAGGGAGGCGAGTTATGTACTCTTTGTGGTTTTACATAACGACAGGTAATACGTGTTGGCTGCGTGCAAGCTTTTGGGGGAACAATCACACGAACTCCACTGTGGCGGCAACCTCGCATTGAGCCACCACGTGCATCCACAAGGAACGATACCAGGAAACTATAAATATTTATATTAGTAAACACCTTACATATCCATTCAACTCAAACACACTTACCCCAAATGAACAGGAGGCCGAATAATCGGAACGTTGTCATTCTGCTTCAAAGAATTTTGATTCGATGATGCAAACATAATGTCAGCTAAACAAAAATAATAATATTAAAATATAGTTGCGATCAGTGGAAAACTTTAAACATCTCGACAAACATTTTGGGTGCTTATGAAGAAATACCCTTCCAATACGTTATCCCTTTATGGACCCATACGAAATCATACGTATAGGCCAAAAAATAAAAACGTTAATAAACACACAGCTGTGTGATTAATCCAATTCGCTGCCGTCGACGTCTTCAATAGTAGACATTGAAAATGAAATATTATCTCCGAGAAAGACTTGCTGTATTCCTGTACTATTTCAGTGATAGTGATATAAAAAAAACAGCACTTGCAGTAATCGTAAGCTAAAACGGGTAAACGTTAGCTCCTTCAATTCACAGGTGAATAGCAACTACGATATGTGTAACTAAATCTGAAAATGCTACCGGTCAACCATTATGTTAGTTATTTCTTGTTACATTATTTCGCTGAAACAACCTTGAAGTCATTTCAAGGTTACCTAATAACAGAAAAATAATATTAGTAGTTATAATGAAGATCTTTATCTTGATTTTGATTGTTCAGTTTGAATGGCAGTTGTGTTTATGCTACCACGTTTTCGAATAGGGATGATATGATTTCAGAGACGTTTCGGCCATATTTAACTCATCATATGTATTTTCTTTTTCATTGTTGTCACTAATGTTTAAAATTTCATCATAGAGAGATATACGCAAGAACAACGTTAACAAATTATTTAATTTTATTATCAAAATTATCATTCTCCAATTGCAACTTTTCTTGCGCTGTTGCCATTTTTTGGTCGTAATAATCGTCCACCTGTGGCCGCTAATCGTCGAATTGTGGAAAATTTTAAGCGTGCAGTTTCTTTACATAACGTTCAAGTACCAATAAGACAAAGAACTGATCGAAGTAATTAAAATATTGCTGCCGTTCAGAAAATTTTGCGGAAGACCACAATGCGTCGATGTATTTTAAACCAAAACCTAGCGGACATTTAAACGATTTGAACTTGTAAAAAATTGAACTTACTCAAGAATTGAAGCTGTTGTTGTTGTTGTTGTTGTAACGATTATCAGTCCCCGTTGGGATGGTGAGGGTTATCAGTGTTGTCGTCGATGTCATCTAACGGGAGGCCCAGGMAAYRTKYTGTTTCGACGGGGTCGGACCAAAGGGAAAGGGGTGTTAGATGGGTGGGGTTGGTTGGGCATGCAAAGAGGTGGTCAGTGTCATGCGGAGACTCATTGCATGC